TATTCATGCTTAATAACTTTACCCTAGTTCCCTTTTTAGAGGTCTTTTCAAAGCGAGCTCTGTTCTCTCTTTGGAAATGCTTTTTTAAATTGCCTGATATTTTCTTTTCTGGTAAATGCTAGTTGTCCTTTGCTCCACATCCATCAAAAAGTAATGTGGTTAAATTTGGTGTTTCTCAAAGACTGGCTCCTGCCGTTTCATGAGTTTGTTGTTGACTAGTTTCCCTGTCTCTGCCATTGTTAGTGCTGCTTCTTCGCATTTTGCAGAACTTTCTCCCTATTTAACCACACGGGTTTTTCCTGTGATAATCTGAAATTCGAATTCTTTGAGGAAGTGTTATTGGTAGTATTCACACTCTAGCTTGAGACATAACATACGGAAATCAAAAACAGAGTTTCGGTAATCGCCAAGAGTTTCGGAATAAACGGTCGCAAGCGGCTCATAGTAAGAGATACGATTTTGAAGGGGCCATGTTATATTCAAGGCATAATTTGGAACTGGGAGGATATTTGCTGGGCAGACGAAAATTACCGACAATGGGCTGTGCCTTCTGTTTGTCTAAAAAACTTACCAAAAATACGACGAAGGCTTTTGGGAAATAGCTCATCGTGATATTATTGTTTTTATTAGGTCTCTAATTAGAGGTATGACACATTTTCCAACATATTAGCGATCTCAACCTAAGCTATGTAGCTATTACCCAATTAGCATTCAGCAGGGCAACTTTTTCATATCCTTGTTCCAAATGTAGAGTGACGTAGACGTTCACAAACTATTTAATTTGCCGGTTTGAATAAATGAGGATTGGTATATTAAGTGTTTTATTTTTGTACTATAAACCTTTAATTTTTGGTATAATCAACAATCCTTCTCGCTAGTCTGCCCCATCTTAACTCTGACTCGGATGTCCGAACTTACACTACTGGTTAGAAATTTAACTTTTCTACTTCAATGCACCTTTGCGTTTGATCAGTGAATTCTATCCAAGATGGACTGGGGTGGGCATGGTCCTGTGGTTGGGGTGCGAAAAATGATTACGCTTGTACTCGTTTTTAAATTATTATTTGCCTTTTCCCCCTTTAGGGGTAATATTGTTAGGATAATAAATTGACTTGTCAATCTTCAGTGTGCTAAACTAATAATGGACTTTTTTTCTCCTTAGAAACACGATCTCTTTTTTATGTGTTTGAAAAATGTTTTCTAAATATCTTGCTGCCTGAAGTAGGAATAAATGGAAGCTTTTTAATAATTTATTACTCCGTAACAATTCCATTTACATTTCGTCTCAATGTTTTTCATTTCAGAGAGACGGTGGGCGCAAAGTGAGCCAACATTATTGGAAATGTAAAGTTTCTCTACATACTCTGTGCCCTCTAGAAGAGAGTAAGAAATTAACTATTTCATGGAAGTTGTCGTACATTAACAAAATTAAATATGCATTTACCAGAAGGCCATCGTGCAAATTACAATTGGTGGCTTCTCGTGGGCTTTCTGCGGGGGTCCCGGCCGCCTGATTGCCTTGGTCGCTATGCTTGTCGCAGCTTGCCTTTTCATTCTTTCAACAACGCTCATCTGAGGTTCCGGGATTTGATTCCCGGTAGAAATCTCATGAGAAATTTGTTAACGGACTAAGGCGTGTGTTTTGCGCGCCGTGCTTCACAAGGGCTAGTTCAACAACAACGCTTGGTGAAGTTCTCCGTAGACAGCTCTGACTATTAAACTCCAGCCGACCCAATCCGCTAAATATTTTCCCTTTCCCCGCCGATTTTGGCCGGTTCGGTAGATCTTGGATGAGCAGTGACGCAAAGAAACGGCGGCGTACCGCGGCAGATGGTTTTCTTGGCGGTCCTCTTGACAATGACTGACGTGCGACGAGACGTAACGGTTCACTGACTGTTAATGAGGCTTAACTACCAGGCTGATATTTAATGGAGGATTACTGAAAAGCGCTTTCAACGGCCCCCCCCC